AGTGGAATTTCGCATTTTGCCACTAGCAGTTTCATCAATCCTTCATTGTCCTTTTACAGGAGTTGAAACACTGTGAATTGCGTCCATGGGATTTGAAAGACAAATCGTTGTTTGAACAGGAGTCGACTTGCACTTTCTCTAGACGCAGCTAAATTATATGCAAATGCTGAAATTTTGTATGGATGGAGCGCCTAGAGAGTCTATCGACCGTTTCAATTGGGGAAGCTAGGGTTGACCAAAACGGTTGTTCAATGTGCTTTCGGATTGTAGTAGTCGAGAATTGTGCATGCCCAAGGCCAAAACCAGATGAGGACAGCGAAGTGGTCACTTAAATGATAAAACGTGCATCTTCGTCCATCAGACTGATATAACAATGAATTGCAATATAACACGAGAAAGTAGAAAGGGAAACGAGTTCTGGAAACGAAGTCAGACGTGCGGGGGAAAACCTAGATGGTTAACTTGAAGTAATTAGTTAAAATAAACATAGGAGCATATGCAAACGGTTGCCATAAAACCGTAAGGTTACATTTATAATGAGGATCTTGTTACTATCAAAACAAACGTCTAGTAAGATAAAACTCGCATGAAGTTTTCCACATAAATCATACAGCTTTCCTTCTGTTTGGTTTGTACCGTCTGTATACGTACAAACTGTGCCCATTCTTGTTGATGAATCGAGCAGTGAGTTTTTGCCGCATCCTCGTGAAATGTGTGCCTGTACATGTACGAATCAATAGAAGAGGCCCTTTTAAAGCGCAAAACACCATACGTTTTAAGATCAAGAGGCATCAAGCACCATCACTTGGGTTAATCAACCCGCACCGATGGAGAGTTGGATATTCCCACTGACATCCACATGTTTGAAGCGTGGATCTGAATTCCAACAACCGGTACAGACAGACTATTCCGGGTAACACCATCGCGCCAGTATCTTGTGGTCTCATAAATGTAAACTCCCAAGTATTTGATAAGCATTCAGAGGGTATATCACACTACTCGCCTATTGCGTTGTGAAAGGCCTTAAGTGCACTTTCAACCGGAGGTTTAAAGAAATAAAGTGGGCTTAGTGAACAGAAAAACATTGGTCGAAACAGGTAATGTAAGGCTTGGATCACCGATCGTTGGTTTGGAATGATCGCCTCGTCAGTCGTTTAGCAACTAGGACATGCTGAGCTGTCGCGCACAAATAAATCGACTGATCGATCTTTTTGCTTCGACCCTGAGGAATACACCGGTGTGAGAGCAAAGTCGCTGACGAGCGTTGACACATGCATGTCAGTCTGCATTATGAAATTTACGGAAGACAAGCGCATAGGAGAAATCATCAAATTTGAGGTCGTATGAAAACTCGTGCTAGTTGACGAGCGAGTGAGACAGAAGCAATACGATCGCTGCAGAGATAACTCAAAAGATAGAACCTCTGAGAGAGGAAGACTCATACGAAGAAAACCAAACCTTGTGTGATGAAGATCGTAGGTGCATCATACAAAGCTGATTCGGGGCTTCAAAAACGAATTTCAAATGCTATTTCAAATGACATTGTGAACAAGAAACTCTCATCACTATCGCTCGGATTAAAGTAGTATAGAAATTCGAAGCCTCCGGGTTAGATTGTTGCACGTGTCACATCGACTGATTTTCGCAATAAAAAAACGCCTGTAATTTGACCGATTGAGTGCTACAGGACTGATATCAACTCAGAGAGCGTTTAGATAGCATGTACTGTGTACGACAACCAAACGCAATTTAGCTCAACGCTGGTTATTATGACTACTGCTCCGGATGGGCAAGAAGACGGACAACGCGTGACCAACGATTTATAGAGCGAGACCTGCAGGAAAAGGTTTAGACCTGTGACAAAACAACGTGATACACCGGGACAAGTAACACATCCACAGTTGAGCCTAAACAGGTAAGGTGCATCTGGTAAAACCACAGGGTCTTCTTACTCAGGAGGGATTCGTGGAAAAGAGGTGGAATTGCAGTGTTATACTGCTAATATGCAGCTCCTTCTTAAGGCTTTAATTTGACAAAACCAAATATAATATCTGGTGACTTCGATCGATACGACGATCCGTAAAAGAGACGTCACTCAGACAAAGGAGTGGATATGATTGTTTAAACTTTAAGCTGATTACAAATGCTGTGTAAAGACAAACAGGAAGCATTTCCAGAGATACTTGGAAGCGTGCACTGTTAAAATGAGCGCTAAAAACAAATATTGGAGTGGTGTTTACCTTTAATAATCCTTTTATACATTGTCTGAGGCTTAATTAGAACCTGGACACGCCTCATCTGTATACTTCATTTTAAAACCCTATCGATAAGGCATTTTATTGCTTGAAAGTTCCACCAAGGTCCTGTTAGAAGTGAGCACAGGAAGCTAACAAGTGTACCAAAATAACGGTCTGTGGAGTTACCTGGGTTACTTTTTTTCCCGTCCATGTACGCATTTGAAGTAAAGTGCTGAATTTACTCCATCCAGAGGTGAACACTCAGCAGCAGCAGCAGCAGCAGCAGCAGCAGCAGCAGCAGCAGCAGCAGCAGCAGCAGCAGCAGTAGCAGCAGCAGTAACAACAGTAGCTAAATAACCGTTTCAAAAGAACCTAGGTAATTAAGCAAAGCTGCCCAGAAACTAACAAAAAAGTAATTCACACGTGTTTCAGTGCGTTGTTTAGCATGGAAGAGGATGCTAACAATGTCAGGTAAGCAGAAGGAGGAGGAGGAGTATAGTATACAGACTCTCGTGTAAATAAGTGCTGCATTATAGTGCTAATGCTTAAGCTTGACATAACAAGTTACCTAGATCGATATAAGGAGGATACTTTAGGTCAGCTCCATGAGACTATTTTACTTACTTAAATCTGTTGGGGATTTCCTGAATGGGTAAACCGCTGCGTAAAATTCTCAGTTTCAGCGATCAATATTTCGCCTTTCTGTATGTCTTTGGTTTCATAGGCTGCCGGTAGGTTCACGTTTCTGTCGGCCCGCGTGGCCGGTCATATGTGTGTCCTTGCTGCTCCAAATCAGTGAAGTGCTTAATTTATAATGTGTTTATCTGATTAATTATATTCAATAGAATACTTTTATCTCAATAGTTACGTCAAAATTGTGATCATTATTTGGAGACAACTGCATATGGTTCCAACCATTGGCCAAATTACACATTCATACACATATCCATATAATTCAGGGATTTGAAAACTTGCATCTGACATCATAAGCGTGATAATTTTACATACACTTCAAATTCATTCCTCGATAAGGAGTGGATCGCAAGCTATGGAGCATGCTCCATTGCCTTGCAAGGCTCTGAAGCCATGAACGAAACACGTAGAACTAGGACTTGTTATCACCAAATTGCTCGCATAAGTTAATAAATTATTGTGTGAACTGAGCAAGCATTACATATTTCCTCCTTCCCCTCATGTTTTGCCCAGGGCGTGCCACAAACGGAAAAGGACACTACTGGAGCATACATCCTGCCAATATGCAAGATTTCCTGGCCGGTGATTATCGCCGCCGCCGAGCTCAACGTAAAGTTCGTCAGGCTCTGGGACTGGCTTGCCCAAACGACCCCAGAGAAACACCCTCGCCACCTGCAGTAGTCACTCTGACGAGAAAAGAGCGCGAACGCTATTACTGCAGTCGTCCGTTATCCAGCATCTGTGAATTTGGTGTGCCCACGGATATATCAACTGTGGCAAGAATGAATGCACCAATATCCACCACCGAGTTTTCATATTACATGAGTCAACTCCTGCCACATTTTCGTCCAATACCTACAATGCCAGTGCATAATACCCAAATGTCCGACACTCACAAATCACCAGTTTTCTGCGCTGAGCCCGATAAAGTCATCAACGGACATCCGAGTCTATTTTGTTCAGTCCTGCAAAGGAAATTATCTCTGTGCGCATTAAATCCCTGTGAGAGTTTGGACAAAACAACCTCACCGGATAGGACCGAACCCAGACTAGTAGGTCAGAACGGATTCTCTGTGGCTCGAATTCTCGCCGAACCGAATACACAAGATGCCAGTTGTCGTCTCACCATAAGACCAAAGATGAGTGGTAGGAAGCTTTCGCATAAAGATTATCTATTCTGATACATTTGAAAATGGAAAATTAAAGAGTTTGTCAGAGTGGTACCATATAGGTTGAATGATTTTCCGGTAGGTTTGATGAATGTGAAGTTTCCACGTCATACGCAGACTTTGAAGATCAGCGCGTTCAAATAAAGCGAAAAACAATACTGTCCAGCCTTCGCTCCCCTTCATAATCACTATATTAACTTTTCTTTGACTCGTTGAGGAGTAATGTGATTTTCATATCTTTTGTCCTCCGTGAATGCAGCAACTGGCAAAACTGTCACCAATAAACAGATTTGTAGAAGCGAAACTATCTTTTCAATACCAATCCAAGGGTCATTTATTTTTCAGGTCCATCAATAATTTAATAAAAGGAATCGTAAAATGTACACAGTTTACCCTGGGACACATTGAAAGCTATCGGGTTGTCGTTTAGCTACATACTAACAATATATGCATCTGTACTTCACCCGCTCGCGATAGAACATTTTAGTCATTTATATTTTGACTACTCACGAGTAGTGTAATATTAGAAAGTAACTTAGCTCGGAATGTCTAATGGTTGAAAGTTAGTTTTAGGCTGCGGTATGCAAAAGGCGGTTGTGATAGGTTTACTTTATTGTTGCAATTATTGCATTGCTAATGTATTTCATGGTTATGACACGTACCTGATTAAAATAATCATGTTTGCGTATCCGAGACTCAATGATTATTTCTGTGAATGCCGACCTCGTCGATAATTTGATTTCTGATATGACTTACAATATTGGCTGAATAACTATTTGTGGTCGTTTGTAGGAACGTCTCTTAGAAGGATCCGTCTCTTACCGCGGGTCGTTTTCAGAAATGCGTGCCGTAGAAACGAATATTATCAATAACAATAATAATAATAATGGCATATTTCCTCGTTTACTTCGAGAAACATGCAGATATTGCGCCACAAAGACAGCCAGGTTACCATAACTTGCCATCCAACTAAAATACAGTGAATTGTAGTGGCTTGAGACCGACAGTGTAACATGCTCGAGAGTTGTCATCACCTTTGGTCTACTTGTTCCGCATTTATGCTTTCGCATGGTTGCAGGCATCGGTTGCTTAGAGCATTCGCTCGTGCATCCTTCTCCTTTGTAGCATAGATTCAGCCAGGAGCTTCGCTATTCTGAGACCGCTTCTTCAGCTAAGTTGTAGAGATGGAGGATGCAATATCACGACCTACGACAGTGACCCGGTCCCTAATCCTCTCGTGTTTCTCGATCACCCAGTATGAATCAGCAAGAACAACCGGTTAGACAAGAGAAAGTATATTGTTCCCTGAAAGTATCGGGGTTTAGCCTGAATACGCTCGAGAGTATCTGAAAGCGAAAATGCTTAGCAAGCGAAGATGAAACACAGAACTATCGCACCGTTTAACGTGCGGTTACTCGATCGGAGGTGACAGTGAATTTGAATCTTCATTATTCAATACTTTGACCGCGTGTCTTGGTTCTCGTCATGTGCGCACCACCGCCTTCCACCCTGCGGCCAACGGTTTGGTTGAGAAATTTCCCGTCAGCTTAAGGCGGGTCTATCCATTACCTCTAAATTACCGTGGGGTGTAAATCTAACCAACGTTATTCTCGATATTTGCAATTTTCTCAAAGAGAATTTCGAAAGGCCTGAAGCCGAGTTACTTTTCGAAACGAATTTGCGTCTGCCTGGAGATTGTATTTGTCCTAACATGCAAAAGAAGTTCACGGATATAGAAAACGATGTCTCACGCTTCCATTTCCAAATACGCACATTAGAACCCACTCAACCCCATCCCAAGTCACCACGGGTGTTTGTACATTCACATCGGGCCCCATGAAGTCAGGTTTACGGTGGATTCGATAGCGTCCTCAGACCTCATACCCCTTCTTAGAATGAAAGCTTTAAAGTGCTCCGTGGTGAATATAAATTCTTTATTATTGATCGCAATGGAAAAAGGGATAGAGTTTCCCTG